ATTATCACTTATACACATATTTTAAAATGAGGGGCCAGGTGATGATGCAGAGGTGTTACGAGTAGACCCACGAGAGAGTTCCTGAGTTTGAGTCCTAGGGCTACCTTGACAAGTCATGTGTGTGTGTGCGTACGTGCCTGGCTGGCTGAAGACAAGGAGCAGGTTGCACCATAAAGATTCTTTGGGGGTCTCTGTCTTTCAGTCTTTCTCTCTCTTTATGTCAGAAGAAATAAACTTATAAAATATATTTTAAAGTGCAACTATAATTTTAAAAAGGCATCTATCTTATCCTTGAAGCTATAAAGGATATGTAATTCTCAAAAGCTTTCGTATCCAGATATCGCGACTTCATTAGCTGGTATAAACAGTCAATGAATAAAATTTCTTTCTAAGTCATGTAACCTTTGGATTTTGTAACACAGAGTTGATTCCCCTTCCTTTTCCATAGGTTTCAGTAACTGACTTTGTATACTCCCACTAAAGAGTCCTGGAAACAGAGGCTTATAGGCAGAGTAACTGCTACTTTTTCTATTGACAATGTGAGCACAATGTGGGAAGGTCTGTGTCCTGTAACCATGGGGTGTCACATAATACTCTCCAAACCTTGGGACCAGCAGTTAGCGTAATGGCTATGTTGCTGGACTTCCATGTAGTTGACCACGGTTCGCGTCCCGGACCCGGTCGCTTAAACTCATGCCGGGCGCGTATGTGTGTGTGCCCAAGATCCTGAGAGGAGAACAGAGGAGAAGGGATTGCGGCTTGGCCATCTCCCCTGGGGGGTGATTTCTCACTTTCTGCCTCTCTGTCTCTGTCTGTCTGGTGAGCGCACGTGCTCTATAGCAAGAACCTCTCCAAACCTTTCCCAGTTTCAGAGAGGACATAGCAGCAACATCTATAATATGTGTCTCAGCCTTTGTTTACAATTGTACGTGGTTTCCCATGCAGAATATGAACTTTGCCGGTACAGATATCGTTGAGAACCTCTGCTCTCATTTCTTTCCAAGCAGCGACTTCAGACTCTATCTCCTAGGGTGTGGAAATGTGTTTATGTATGCATAGATATGCACGTGAGTGTAAATATGCATATATGCTTCATTTACACACATTATACAAGAAAAAAGTAGAAAATGACAGATCCTGGTAGAAAGAAAAGAAGTAGGGGCTGGATGAGAGGGGAGTGGAAGGAAATTCACACCACTCAAGCTCCTACTACGATGTACGCAACCAAAACAGAAGTCAGTGGGGGGAGCAGACAGAGGCAATGCGGTTATCTAGATGTTAAAGAGTGAACTTGTAAAAACTCTCCTTCTTTAAAGCAGCGTGCTGTAAGACGGATGCAGGCAGCCCATCAGGGAGTACTTGTCAAGCCATTCCGAGGGAGAACAGAAGGCTGTGGGGCACTGATTTTGGTTTAGTCTCCCCTAGGTGCTGAGCCGCTGTCTCACCATGAGATGAGTTATCTTTGAAGTTCTGCTGACAGTCTAGATAGCATGACTTAAAAGTGCAAGTCCCTAAACAAGGTTCAGCTTCTCAGCATACAAATGCTCAGAAAACCAAAAGAGGTCAGGAAAAACCCACCCAAGACATTTCTCTTTAAGCCCAAGAGACTGCTGGTCGTCTCCATAATTAAAAGGATCTTAGAAGACTGTCTATGGGAAGTTTCTGGGAATTGGTAGCAGTCTTGTGATTTGTTTTACTTGGGGCTTCTCGACATTTCTGTAATCACATCTTGTGATCTCTCTGAAGCATTTACAGCGATAGGCAGAGGGGAAGGGTGACCTTGCAGAGTCCCTGGGCAGGGGGAGGTAGGAGCAGATTCAGCTAAGCTTGAGACATAGCAAAGAGAGATGGATGAAAGTGGTAACCACTTTGGAGAGCCTTAAAGTAAGTCTTCATGAACACACACACGCCCAGTGTGTATGGGGCTTTGGGATCCAAATAGAGGATCCCAAATTGGTGTTATTGCTGTGCCACTACATGGTCCAAAGAAAATCCATTTCAAGCCTCTGCTTACATCATCTCTCTTAAATATTCTATTGACCAAAGAAAATTATATGACTCAGTCCAGACTAAAGAGGCTGAGAAGGCCCCCAGCCCGCAGTGGGAGAGCACTGTTAATTTATTTGGCAAGGAGGAAGATGTAGGGGATAATGAAGAATTGAACTAAATAATGCAATCTACCCCCGAAAGACTGACTATGCTGAGGACATCTGACATCATCCTGAGGCAGTGAGAGTGGAAAAGGCAAAAGTGAAATCTAAACAAAACCTGTAATCAGCCAGGATTCCAAAACATCTGCCTCCTTGACAAATAAATTGGAAGTTTCTATGACTCCTGTAGACCCTGGGCACGTTTATCAGGGCTGTCTGACACTGGGGGTGAACTGTGGTATGATGACCCAGTTGGAGTCTAGGTCTCTCCTCTTTCTCTCTCTGTCTCTCTGTCATGGAAGAAATAAGTAAATAAACTTAAAAAAAATGAATTAAACTTGCTTTAACACTGGAGTTTGTTTCTCTGCCAGGAAAAGAATTATAGACACATGACACTAACAAATATGTCTCAGTCAAACTGAACATAAAATAGAGCTTCCAACTATGCCATAGGCACATTAACTAAACTCAGTCATTATAAGCCCAACCCAGCTTAAATTGGCTAAAACTCGCAGGGGTGTGATAAATAAATGTTTACTATTGGATACTTCTGGGATTATGTGGTTATTTGTTACACAGCAAAAACTAGCTGAGACAAGTACCATTGATCCATGTTCTTCATGTAAGGAAGAGTGATATTTCTGAAATAGAACTCTGTGGTCAGCTCTAAAGTGTAGCAGTTAGGTACTATGTAGAGGACGCCAGAGCCCATGTGGCTGATCGGGATTTGAGTTTCAGCCCCATCAGCTTATAAAAAGACATACTGGCACACATGCCTAGGATTCTGAGGGAATGAAGAACTGGAAAACAAAAGGATTGTGTTGTGACTATCCCTGTTGGGAGGAACTTTCTTTCTCACTCTCTCATGCCCATGCACACACCTTCTGGCATAACATAATAATAAAATAAAATGAATTCTGATTTTACTAAAATCATTCTGCCTAAACCCTCAATGACTTTTTGTTATGGGCTGAATTGCATCCCTGCAACATTCATATGTTTAAGTCCTAGTCCTCACTTCCCAGAATGTGACCTAACTTGGATATAGAAACACTGCAAATGTACCATTGAAGTAAAGTGGGCCCCTTACCCAATGTGACTCATGTCCTTATAAGAAGGGGAAATTTGGAGATAGACATACATGCAGTGAGAATCCCATGCGAACGTAAAGGCAGAGATCAGGGTGATGTGTTTACAAACCAAGGAATATCAAAGACTACAAGACAACCTACAGGTACTAAGAGAAGGACACAGAGCAGATTCTCCCTCCTAGGCCTCAGAAAAAGCTAATCTTGCCACCACCTTGATCTCAGACTACTGGCCTCCAGAACTATGAGACAATACATTTCTGTTATATAATTACCTTTAGGATAAAGTCTAAATGCCTTCATAAGGTATGAACATCCCTTCATAAGTTGGCCTCTGGCTATACCTGTGGTCTCATGCCTCGCTGTATTCCATTGTTTCAGCCCTACCCCATCTGCTAGCCACATCAAACTTTGCTGTCAAGACTGTCACAATGTATTTTTGTATAGAAAAAACATCATGACTTTCCCGAAGACCTCATATTCACAGAGGTGAAGTGGACTGCTCACGAGACTGTCCATGCTCCTCTCTCGGCCTCAACGCTCTT